TGTAATTTTATATTACGAATAAAGTTTTTTAAAATTCTATACTTGTACATCTCTTAATTTAATGTAATTACTTTTAAATGTCTTCAAATTATAAAAATAGTAAACCAAAAATAGGTATTAGGGAGATAAGTTGCCATGCGCAACCTAGTAATAATAAACAGGAAATTTATTGACAAATATAAATCAGTTTGTTGTTAAATTTCAATGAAAATAAATTATTTTTTCATACTTGTTTACAATTAATGACAACCACGTTATACTTGAAAAAAATTTTCGATACTTCGATTTAGTTATTTACAATTTAAAAAAGGATGAAGATATAGAGTTAATTTCGACGATTGACGAGATTTTCGACATGTTATGTTTCCAATAAAAATAATCATAATAAAAGTGGTATAGTGTTTAGCTTAACACCAAAAATTTTCTCGATATCCAGAATTTCACGTACTACAGAGAAACAATGCACTCATTTATAATAACATACTGTTTTCTGTTATTTAAGTAAGACAAAAAATATGTTGGAGAGCTCACTTTATCTTATTTTTTTAAATTTTGTAACTTCACAAATTCGAAGGTGGACCGTTTATGATTTTTTGTTATGTCTACTTATTTATTTTATCGCGTGAAAGAACCTTTTTCTGACACAACGGTGTCAACCACTCATTATTTTACCGCTGACCGCTAGATAAGGCGATAAAAGAGATTATAATTAAAATCGAATTGTTTATCAGTATTGATCCCTTCCAAAAATACAGGCCGTTATCGATTTGAAATTACCGTTAGATCGGTGTTGACTCTTCTCTATTCTTACTTCTGTCATTGACCGTGCTAGGGTGCACACATCTGTTGTTTTATTAACACTTTTTTTACAATGTTGGAGTAGAGCCGCCAACGGCGAATGGCCAGGTCTTTTCGGCGAAGCATTCAGACCATCGGATGGGTCTCTTCGGAGACCGGGTATCGTTTTCTTTTTTATATTATATTTATGTAATGAGCTATAATTTATTAATTATTTTATTTCATTTTATTTTATTGTAAATTAACTTAATTTTGTTTATGTGTGGAGAGCACGTGTTTCCCTTTTCTTCTAGCCAACGCTAAGGAGCGAGTGTCCAGACCGCTCCTGGTGTTCTTCATTAATCTCCGATTAACATTAACGGATGTGTTCCAATACCGTCCATGATGTTTGTAATATTATTTGTTTGTTTTGTTTAAATATTTTATTTTATTTGTATTGCCTTTATTTGTAGACATGGTTTTTGATGCATTCGCATTTTTGTCCATGTTTAACTTAATTTTCTTTTTTTTAACAATTAAATTAAATTTCCTTATTAATTTCAACTGTAATATTTATTTTATTGCGCGAGTAACTTAATTACTCGCGTGTATTTATCCCTATTCCGTAATCTAGACACGGGCTACGATATGTTTTACATATCAACCACAAACTTTAATTGTCATAATTGTGTTTAATAAACCATGAGGTATTATAGTAATTTATACATATAACGACATATTAACTTAGATTATACTTTTAATTAACTTAAAATTAAATTCCACCTATGGTCCGGTAATCATATCTGACAGATGTGACACCTCGCCTAGGTGGTGGCGACCCTTGCTACTATAGCTAGTCGTTATGCAAGTGGCAAACTACGTTGTTGTTACAGGCCGAACTAATATAAAAGCCCACTCGCAATTTATGTAATCAAATATTGTGATCAACATTGTCAAATTCTTTAGCTAGGCTCAAATAGACAGCTGCCCTTTTTTTAAATTTCATCTAAAGAACTATAAACTAATTGTGTCTCTCTTGCAATGTTTGATCTGCGGCATTTGGACACCATATTGAGATTGTATAAACAAGATTTGGTGTTCATATATTTCGGATAAATGTAAAATTTTAGTACCAGGAACTCATGAGATGACCAACAAGTAACATCATAATTGGGACCGTGTCATTGAATTATCTTGATGGCCACTTTAAAATTCGTCGGCGAGAGACTGGACACCATTTCGAGACGCCTGAATGTATAAACGCATACATTACTCTTATGAATCCCTGGTACTGAATTTTGATATTTGCTAGATAATATCGATCCGATCTAACACATTAATAAACTATTTGGGCGGTACTTCATGAAATCTTGGTACAAATTGTTTTTCCTTGAAAACATTTAAGAAATTGGCAACATGTATTGTTTAAGCCGTGGTAATGGTACCATAGCGTAAATGCTCTTTTAGGCAAAGGCCACATAACAATATAGTGCGAATTTAATTAGCTTTTTGATCAGACTGATGAGACTATAAAATTCGCCGCTGACTCCGCTAGCCGGTGTGTATTTGTCAGCGTAGATTGAAATTGGTCGTGCTCAACTTTTGGTAACAGACAGTAATGTTTAATTGTTTGTAAGAATGATCGGCTGACGATAGCCGGTAGTCTAGTAAACCTGACAACTGAATGAATTTAAGTTGGCGAATAGCAGATGAAAATGTTACCATGATTTTAAATATTACACCCGACAACTGATCAGTGGTAGTTACCATCAACCTAAAGTGACCTTGTAAAACGACACATTGCTGCGACTCCTGTTTAAAAATTATATGTATTTAACAAAAAAATGTATTCGGAACTTAAATTATTACATGTTTTTATGAAAACTTAAGCATTTTGAGGTGATAAATTTATATTTTATGTACTATACTAAATCTGTGTGTTATATTACTTAATAAGTTTTAAACTAAAATAATTTCTAAAGCTGGTAATGTATTCATAAATGTTTCACGTGTTGTAACTTATACGAGATTTAGCGATTCCAATATTCATGAAACTATCATATTTAAATTTTTAATTGAATATTTATAAATTAATAAAAGTTAATACAAATAATTTGTTTTAATTACAATTAATAACACTGATCAGATCAATATAATCAAGTTTCAATTAATTCTTAGTCCTTATTTCAAATCCAGTCTTATAAAATTCTATCGTAATATTATATTTGAAGATTGCGATTCTGTACTATTGAATTTAATCAACAAAAATAATTGTTAAAGTGTTAAATTAATATATATAAATAAAGATAGGTCTAGTAGAGTTTATATATAACTCTGACAATAAGAAAAAGTTTAGATTTATAGCATTGTTGTTAATAATTAAAATAATTTTTCATAAACCGCATCAATTTATAAGTTTATTCATTGTAATATTTAATAAATTGGAAAATTTTTTATTGTTATAAATTGAAATAGTTGAATAAATTACAGTAACTATATTTCATTTATAAAGTGTTTTTATTAAATTAGTTAATGATATAATATTTAATCTGTATATTATACAGATAATATTTTAATATAATAAATTTTATTATATTAAATGAGTGAATAACAATAATTTGTAAATAAAGTATACTTTAAAAGAGAGTCAACAAATGTCATATTGGACTTAATGTCTAATAATACTAGTAATAAAATTTGAAATATTATTAATTAGAAGTTATTGATGAAATAAGTGAGTTCCGCACGATTCCTGAGGAGTTGCAAGAAGATGCGCATAATCTCTGCTCTCCTGACATTGCACCTGAAGAAAATTGGATTATCAAACGTACAACAGAGTTCAGAGTAACATCTGTAGAAAATATGTTGAAAAATAAACGCGTAAGATTAAAGAAGGTATTGTGCGATGGAAAATGCTATACTTTCAAAAGATTAAGCACATTATGATACGACTGCCTCCGTGGTGAAATCACGTGATCAACATTAAAAAAAATTTTTTTTTCATCAAAAAATACATACTTGGAATTTAAATGTATTTTAAGCGTTTTTAGAATAAAAAGTAGCTTCTTTCAGAATAATTAAAAAAAATTGTCATACGTGGTTTTGGTATGAAAACGATTACACATGTATATTATTATTAGTTCAAATAATTATAAAAAAAACGCTAAAATTAAAAATTTTAAGTTTAAAAGTTTCTTTACTTTTTAGGAAGATATTATTGGTTTCAATCGATATTGTAGATCTCCTCAAAAAGTAAAGTTTGTCGTTTATGATTCATACCCAAATTGTTGCTATACACAAAATATGTATCATAATGTTATGGCGATAGTTTTTTTAATAATGTAAAAAAATAACTTTGAACAAAAAATTATTGTATAAATTGATCTCTTTGGAAGATATTTTTGTAATCATATTATTCAGAACTTGATAATAAAAAAAAAATAACTTGAATTTTCATTCTTCTTATTGTTAATAGTGTTTAATAATATTTATTGAGTTTAAACGTAAGGTATTTTAGTATGATTTCTTTTTTAATATACTTAAAATATAGTTTTTTTCAATTAAAGTTTGAACATCATCAAAAATTGAAAGGAAAAATAGTGCTAATATGATTTTCAGACTCTTAGAGTACCTTGGTAAATGATAGTATTTTCAAAAAATTTAATTGAAAGTAGGGCACTTGTTTTAAAAATTACCATTGTAAATTTTTTTTTATACAAACATTATTATTCAAATAAAGCTGTTTATCATAACCACCAACAATTATATGCTTTAATGTTCAGAATATAGAAGATAAAAATTTTAAATTTCTAGGATTCGTTTTTTTTTTTGTTTAACTAACAATGGCCCTAAGAAAAAAAATTATAATAAAAAATAAATGTACAAACCAAAATCACTAGGAAAAATATGTATAATAAATCAAAATAAAAAGTATAGTTATTTATTTTAATAAATAAAATATTATTAAATAAATAAATTGTTGACCAATTCCTAATAAATATCAAAGAATAGTATCTGAAACTAATTTGTATAAAGATAAAAATAAAATATACAATAAAAATAAAAAAATTATTTACTATACCAACACTTATAATTTTCAAATGATCCTTTCTTTATAATTTTTTTTTTTAACAAATTTTACATTTTTAGAATATGTTAATAGAATGTTTTGAACAAAAAATAAATAAAGGTCAATTTTTAACATTTTTAAAGCTTTTCCTAGAAAAAATTTTAATAGGTCGATAAAAATTTCATGTAAATTGCTTACTAAGTTTTTAAATATGTAAAGTGAGTAAATAGTATGATTGAATACAGCAAGTATTTAAAGGGGATAATTTACAAAATGGTTATTTAAAATTTTTTACAAAATATAAAAATTACCTTTCTTTTATTTTTTTATATAACTTTATTAAAAACAAATAATTTAAAATTAAAAAAAAAAAATACTGCAAAATAATAATTGTATCAAAAAATTTAAGACTCGTCGGTTAGATCAGTTGCATACGGTATATTCTTTTTTTTTAATATAATAATTTGTAAAAAATATTATCAATATTATTTAATAAATAAAAATGTTCAATTTTTTTATCTATCTAATATGGAGGCTGTTTTTTGATTCTTAAAAGTATACCAAAATATGCTAAAATATTTGCAATGATTGTAATTATTAATAATATTACTATATCCATATATAAATTTTCACTGACAAAACCATAATGATTTAGTACTGCTTGTCCGTTATCCAAACAACTATGAGAATCAATACAAGCTGCAAAAGTTTTATTAATTTTATATTTAATAATTTTGTAAGTAACATTTTTATATAAAGTTAGGTTTAAAATAAATTATAAATAAAAAACATTGAATGTAAATTTAAATATTTGTTTAACTTACGAATAGAGTTAACTTTTTCCCATTGTACGATTGATAAAGATTCACAGCCAAGATAAAATAATGACAAATATTTAAAATAAACCAACAATTTTGGTAATGATCTATAAAAAAATTTATTTTGAAAAAGAATATTTTATAAGAATAGATAGTTTAATATTATAATTTTATTATTATTTTTTAGAAATTATTAATTATTAATATTTTTAATATACCCAAATGAAATGTAGGCACCACTGAGAGGCAAGGAAAAATAGTCATAAGCTAGAGACACAGTAATTGCTTTTTCTATATCAGCAAAGAAAGCAGACATTAAACTTCCTAAATCATCATTATAAAATAGTATAGTTATATATCATAAATATACAATAATAATATAATATAAATATAAAATATCCATATAATTGATAATATTGCTTAAGTATTTACCATATGATCTAGCAGTCAGTAGTATGAGTACAAGAATAAATAATTGAAGATATACCCATTTCACACCGACCACCCAAAAAACTAAAATACTGTAGGCTAATGTTTGAATAGTAGCCCAAATAACCTAAAAAAAAAAAAAAAATGATTAACAGAAATGTATTAATATATCAAAAAAAAATAAAATGAATCCATTATATCTTTGAACAAACCATTATTATTATTTCAGCAACATAATAGGCACTTAATGAGTATAATTTATTACTGATTTCTCTATGAACAATTGAAAAATTTTCATTGTGAGCATACATTGCACCATAGCTAGCATGAAATATAGAATTGATTACTAAACAAAACCAAAAACCTTGCCAATTTTGAACTGCTTTTGTATCAAATTTTAAATTACTATAAGGTATAGCAGTTATGACTGCTAGATACTGAAAATAATTTTTATAAGCATATTTACTCATTTATAATAAAATTAATTGCGAATCAAAATTTTACCATGAATATTCCAAATTCTAATAATTTGTTTTTGTAATTACGTATAAAACATAAGACAGATCGATATAAAAGAAACAATAGTTGAGTTATCCAAAGAGGTTTTATTCTAAAAAGTTTAAAATCAAATTAATTGTTTACTATCAATTAAATTACAAATTTTTATCTTACGATTCTAAATGGTGCTCATACTCAAATTGTACCTGAAAGAAAATATTTGTTCATTAATACGAAAAATTTAAATGAATTATGTTTTAAACTAACATCTTTATTAAATAAATTATACTTCATATTCATTTGTGATACTGTTGATGATAAATTACACATTTCATCAACATTATACTTATCTTGTGTGTCATTTGAGTTTAAAATAGATATAATGAAATCTGCTTTATTATATGTATTTGGACATACATAGTTATACCTATGAAACAAGTTTTTGATATTAATATTCCAAATAATATAACATGAGAGTACACATATCTATATCTATCTGCCAATACTTTTTAAACAATTCATTAACTAAAGACACAGGTCCTTGATAAGCTAACCTCCCATTTGTCAGTAAAACTACTTCATGAAATTTATCAAAAATACCAGAAGCGGGTTGATGTATTGTGCATATTACAATTTTCCCAGAATATGCCACTTTCCTTAATGTATTTATAATATGTGTAGCTGAGTAACTATCTAAGCCAGTTGTTATTTCATCACAAAAAAGGATAGGTGGATCATTTAAAAGTTGTACTGCTAATGCAATTTTTTTTCGCTCTCCACCAGATAAAAAATCTAGTCTAGTATAAAGAAATGTTGATAAACCAAGATTCTTTACAAGATAATTAATTCTTCCTTGAATAACTTTTTCATTGGCAAAGCGATCCATTTTAAATTTAGCCTAGAAAAAAAACAATATTCTAAAATAAAAACATTAAGAAAGGACTAAGGTCATGGGCCAAGAGTGTAATTCTAAAAAGAGAAAAATGTTTACTACTAAGTTACAATATTATTCTTTATAAGACCTGGGACCCATTTTCTAAGAAAGCTAATAATCCTAAAAATTAACTAACTATACTGTTTTGCTTAAGAATATATTACCATGAAGTTTAATTGTTCAAACGCAGTCAACTTATCAAAACTTATATCTTCTTGTGCGACAAATCCTGATATTTTAATCATGACCCTTTCAGATACAGGTCTACCATTAAGAAAAAGCTCTCCTTTAAAATTTCCTAAAGTATAATTATAAATAAATTACTAATGGCTTTTTTTTTTAATAAATTTTTAAAGTATTTATTATTACCTTTAGTTCGATGACTTATTGTTGCCATTAATGTTGTTTTTCCAGAGCCACTGAAAAAAAATCCACAATATTATCATAATTTTTTATATTACTTAAAAAATCACAAACCTTGGACCCATTATTCCCAATAATGTACCACATTCAACATTACCACTTACTGAAAAAATGTTTGTCATTAATTAGATATATTAAATTTCTTATATGTTTTAATGTTTGTGATAATTATTCATGACAATTCAAACAATATTCTATTAAATAAATTATTGTAATATTTTGTAGAAAGAATAAATGTACAAAGAAAGAAGATCAATTCTTTCATAATTTTTCTACTTGAAAATTAATCGATTTATATCAAATAAGCCTTACTGACCATTACTTAGTATTTTTTTGTATACAACTTTACTGGCTCCAAATAATCTAGGGGTTTTTTTCTTGACAGTTACACTAAGTTGTTTCCATGACAAAACTAAATCATTTTTAAAAACTGGTCTTGAATCTTCAACTTCATCTAAATTATTCCATGCGTTTGACATTTCATTGTAACTTAAGTTTAACATTTTTTTTTAATTAAAAAATAAACTTATTTTAACTATAAACAGAGACAAATTGAGTTCAATGAAACTGGCTTACATCATAATGTAATTTATAAAATTTCCTAATCTAGTAAAACAGAAGTTCACCATTACATATCAATAGGTCATTATTAGTTTCTTACCTTTGATCTCATGAAATAATTAAGAAAGGATAAGTTGTAAAAGATAAACCAGATTTTTATAGTAAAATATTATATTATCACAGGCTTACATTATATAACTTTAAACAAAATTGTTTTATATGTCTACAAATTTACATTAATTAAAAAAATAACTAAATTCAATTCAACAGAACATGGGGTTTCAAAACATATTATTGTTAGTATAAATCAATTAAAATATTAAAAATTAAATTATTTACAATAAATTAGAAAATAATATACACACTTATAGATGTTTTTATAAGTTTATGTGTACATCAAACTTTATCAAGTACACATATATTTTTATTTAAATTTGATCAATGTTTTGGCTGTCAATTTTGAATACTACATATTTGAAGATATATTATTTTTTGGCGAATCAGCAGACAGTTCTGAATCTCCCATACTTATGACTACAGAATCTTTTTTCTTAGTTTCATCATTATTTGACTTGATTGTTTCTTTTGTATTGTCCACTAAACGAGTGTTAAGGGCTTTAAGAGCTAATAGTCTAAATATACATAAAAAAGGATTTAGAATATTAAAAATAACTAATAAAACTAGTATTTAATGTAGAAATATTTGTAAATATTTATTAACAAGCTTGATAATATAGATATTAATAATTATTTAAGCTTAGGTTAAAAATGTAAAATATCTATCATCCATTTTATAATTGCATCAATATTTTTTAATGGGAATATATGGTTTGTAATTAACGTAAAAACACTACTCTTATTTAAAACTGTATTTTTATATTAAATATTAAAATAACTGAAATAACAAATTATTTATTATAGAAAAATATTTAATGTAATAATATTATAATGATAATATTAAAAAATCCCTCAACCAAAACAGCCAAATTTTATAAAAGATCAATACAAAATTTGATTAATTACAGTTATATACACTAAAAATTAATGAACTATATGTACAAATTTGTTTTAATATACATACTTTCTTCTATCAATATCTTGAGATCGAATACCAGGTAGAGCAACTGTAATACCTGTTGGTGCACTAGCTATATCTACTCGCCGTACTGTTTTTCTACAAATACCAGCTCTTACTAAACCACTGTAAACTGAATTGGAAAGAACTGATATAGGTGGTTGAATAGTAACAGGAAAGAAGCTAAAAACAAATAATAATAAAATGAATGATTGATTTTTGGTTCTAGAGTAATTAATTTTTTCTTTAAACATAAATAACGTTAAAAATGTTAAATGCCTCTCTAAAAGCTTTTGCTTATGACAAAGAGGATAGGAAAACCTATCTCAATTGGAATCAAATCATGGTACTTAAGGCACGATGCATTACCAATTAAGCTAGATAGGTCACCTATTCATTATTTAAACATTGAATACACGTTTATGAAAAGACAAATTAAATACCTGGCAAAAGAAAAATTATCTGCCATATCACCTCTAGTACCATTTGTGTGTCTTTGATAAAATCTTAAATATATCCAACTTGTAAGTACACCGCTTATTACCATTGTAGGTTTAGTACTATCAACAAATCCAATGATCCAGAAAAGTAATGATGTAATTATTGAATATAGTGGCATATTGCGGTTAGTTATACGACCAACAGGTGTATCTATGACTGGACTATCTGGCATAATTTGTTTAACTGCTACAGTTACACCAGCTAAATAACCTGCTAATCCATGTATGTGCACTTCAAATAATAGAAGTGTTGACTTATAAAAAACATAAAGAATATAATAGAAAATCGCACATGACAAACCAACTCCAATATTGACAATTGCAAAAAAAATTAGAAAGTGAAGTTCACCCCAAAGTGGTTCAATAAGTTTACCACAAATAGCTACAACAGCTATGTCAAGAAGTACTTGCCACAGATGAGATTCAAAAAAACAAAAGGTAAATGGTGTCCATAGCCAAAAAGACGGTGGGAACACATAACCAGGTGTTACTCCAAATATTACCTTGCTTTTTTCAAAGAATGAAAAAAAATAACAAAATGATAAAATAAAAGATATGACTTTAATACACTGACCAGTATTATTGAATAACAATTCAACGTTGCGTTTTATGTGAGGTATATTTTTTCGTATTTTATTCAAAGACGACATGATAATTGTCAATGATTTCTAATAACTAATCATATTCAACTTCCACATAATCAAAATGTTAGATAAATTTATTTTGATATTTGTAACCATCTTTCTTATCAGTAAATCTTAAAATTATATTATCAGAATTATTTCGACAAGGTAATTCGTCGAACCAACACATTTCTTATCATTAATTGTATATACAACTTTTTTGGTAGTTCTTTTATTAACAACTAGATAGAACAACTTAAATAACATTTATTTAAACTTCTAACATGTAACTATCGAACAATACATTCGATAATAAATAAGATGCCAAATTTTTCGTAATTGTAGAAAAAATTGTGTGTTATTTCTGCATAACGCAGAACAGCAACAATCAATAACAGCACCAACAGCAACCAGCAGCAGCAACAATAAAAACAACAACAACAACATATCTCATTATAAACATATAATGATGGTGTGATAAAAATACATATAGTATTCACCTGATGGGGTGGTGTTCTCTCTGCCTACATTATCCACGATACATATGTAATAATATATACTTGGCAATCATAGTATATTAAAAAAAAAAAATTTACTTTTTATGATTCAGAACTACCACCTCACTTTGTATAAAAATATATATGTATATATACGATGTAAACATAATTTTTATGATTTCTTTTACATATATATATAAACAATAGTAATTTATGCAAATAAAATTATTTTTCTATAAACTAAACTAAAAATATTTGTAATATATTTATTTAAATTTTTATTCATTAAAAAATATTAAATGTAATACTAGCGTATTCAGAGTGAATGGACACGAAACGTGTGCACTATTATATATTTCATACATAAAAACATGTACAAATTAATTTTTATTACATATACTTTGGATTTAAAACCATTAGTTTCCTCGAGCAAAACGACTTTAACCATAACATAATTTTATAAATCATAAAAAAAATAAAATTTCAATGTTCTTTAATAAATAAGAATTTTAATAGTTGATTATGAAACATTTTGTTTTATTAAACTTGAGGCCTTTTCTCATAGTAACGCAGATTTACGTAGAGTATTTAAATTTATAATTTTTATTGGCGTGGTGGACACACTAAATGTTGACAAAACTCTAGTGTTAAGCTATGCCTGCAGCCTTAGTGTACTGATGGGTAACCAAGCGTGCTTTTTATAATGGCAAAAAAACACCATGTCCACAGTACAGAAGGTAACGGCAAACCACTGCACTTATCTCTTCCCTAGTAATATCAGCTCACCTTAGAGTATATGATATCAAATACCCAAAAACAGTAGGAATTAAAATTAAAAAGAATTTTTTATTAATATAAAAATAAAAATATAGAGCAGTATTGTGTCAGAAATAGATTTCGAAATGGTGATCTTGAAAATACTTTCATTAATAATTCAATTCATGAGTTTTTCTTATACAAATATACAGCATGTATTTTTTCTTAACTTAGTTTTGATTAAAGCGAGTTGCATTTCATTCTCAGCAAACGAACATTTATTTGTATTTAAAATGAAGAGGAAGCATCCCAAATGACACCTTATACATTTTACTTATCTATAACACTAAATTATAACTAGCGATTTATTTTTTGTTTCTTATAGTTGTTTAGTAATTTTTTCGTTTTGTTCGTGTTTTCAATGTTTTTTTTTTTATAATTTTTATCAGAGACTTATGCTTTCATCATATTGACTGCGTTGAATCTATATTTTAAACAAAAGATAAAAGGTTATTGAAATTTTTTCAGTATTATAAATTATCTAAGTTAAGCAAACTAATGCCCCTTATTAGAGGAGGGCCTCTATAAAAAAAATCTCGATAAAAGAGCTAGTTATACATAAGATTAATTTTCGTTTCTATATTTCATTATACTTGAGGCCTAGTGTGGCGTAGTGAATCATCTAGTCGTTTCTTCAGCGCTGTTTGTTGTTGGATGAATGGATGACCATACGGGAGCATTAACACACCTTGCCCACTTACTGACTCCCTCAGCCATAAAAAGATTGAGTTAGGTCGACAGCCGCTGTAAAAATCCTGTCAAATCGTAGGGTTAAGCCGATCCGAAGTAGTTGGGATAAGGTTAAGGAGATAATGATGATACCCTACTATATTTCCTATACATTATTATCAGGGCTGAGAATTTATAAATATAACATATATACATTAAATGAAAAACTTTTATTTATATAATACTCGTTACTAGGGCACGGATTATATAGATTTATAAATTTTGTTCGAACCACTTTGAAGGGTCCCAAGTTTGTGCAACTTTATCGTGGGATTATATATGAATGCAGAAATATTTTTCGTTTTGTTATTTCTGTTAACCACACTCGGACTATAACATCTAAAAAATACATTACTAAGTTTTCAAGTGAATAAATAAAAATTTATACTGATTGATGATTGTGTGTTTGTATGAACTCGACAAAATATGATATGAATGGATGTGATTCACAGCCCTGATTATTATACACTACTATAAACTTTTATGTCTACAATTGAAGCTTTCATTTTTTTTTTTTTTTGTGTCGATGACATTTGATCTATATTTTAGTCTACGCAGCTGGCATAATTATGGAGTGATATATGGGTGTCATATGCTCTCATGAAAAAAATCATTTTATGACGAAGATAATTTTTTTTCGTTTGGATAGAGAATTGAAAATTTCTGTATGTCTCATCAAAAGCGAAACCCTAATTACGCTGTTGGTCTATGCTGCTAAGGTCTATCATAAAAAATTTTATGTAAGTCATGTTCATGTAAATTATCTTAATAAATAATTATTTGTTATACATTATTTGATGTTACACATGTAGAGGTATCACTTAGAAAAGAGTGTTAGTCTTTGATGATATATTTAATTGTTGGCAATATCGACGCGTGGTTGATCCATAGCGGTCGGTAAATAAATTAGAAATTGACGTTAAAGATTAAGTTAAATCAATAATAATTCGATTTACTATTATGTATTATACACGACGACCGTGTCATAGAAGACTTTTTTCTAAAATATATTTTACATTAGATAGGCCACCTTAGGGGAAGGCATTATTGTAAACATTAAAAGTTCAAACACGGTAGACGACAAGACTTTTAAACTGAAAAAAATACATAATTAGTTAACAGCGTTAGATCAGTTGGAAAATAAATGTTTTCTTTGTGAAATCTAAATATAAACCATTGTTTATTTGTCGTATTATTCGTCAGTGTCAATAGCGACTTTTTTTTAAAAGAGCAGTTTCATTCAAGAACAATCGAGTTACACGATAACGTTATGAATACATTTCGAGATGAATGAATTGGTTAATAAAAAATGATTTTGACGAGAAAACCGGTGGAGGTTTAACGTATGGCGGAAAGGGATGTGCGCGCGCTTTGGCGGCAACGGCGACTACAGCGGACAATTAATGCGCCGCCAGAGGTCGGTGGGTGCGCTCGGCCGACTGTCCCTTCAGGTGGCGGCGGCGGCGGCGGCGGGAAAAATCAATTGCGGTCGTAGCCAGCAGAAGGAAGGAAAGCTGTGTGCGTGTGTGTATAGGAGGAGCTGCTGTTGTTGTATCTTGTGGAGCACACAGTGTGCGTACTGACGCGGCCTGAACCGAACGCCGCCGCTGCAGCCAACAGGGTTATCGGGTCACGGCGGTGGTGTTCTTCTCCACTTAAATGCCCCTCTACATATATAATTGCCCATTGAATTTTCTAGAACATAATTCCAAAATAATTACCTCGCGTCTTTCAACCCCCGACATCGCTTTATTTTAGTTTATAAACAGCGATTGCCTCGTTTGTTGCTATCATATTGTTTACATGTTGTACCGTCATTAGCCGTCCGCGTAGAAGTTAATTGTCATGTCTTTCAGTGACAGACGACTTCTCACGAATCCGCCAAAAAGTCTAACGGTAAGAAAACATATGTCATGTAGTAAATTAATAATATTCAATAAAATCGATGCGACTTTTTTTATTGACAGTATCATAAATTAGACATTGTTTTAACACGAGAAAGTAAAAATAACATTACAAATTGTAAAATGAGTAGTATTCATTTTTTTTCTAGAATTTAAATGAGACTATCCGTAAGCTGAATATATTCTATTTTATTATACTATTTTTTTTTATACGTTATCAGATGTTGTATTGTATCGAGAGAAAGGCCTTATTATAACGATAATCTTTTTTTAGTAAACGTTGCAGATTAATAACGAGTAATTATATACGTTTTGAAAAAGTGTCATTTATCAAAGGCAGTATAAGATATTTTGAGTTAGTCTCTAAAGTAGCATACTTAGATAATAAATACAAACATTAACAAATAATAATAATTATTATCAAACAACGATGATTTCAATAGTGGAATTAAACAAATACCTCATAATTAGATGTATTTAAGGACATAAGAATGAATAGACGTAGATGAATGAAACAATGAATAGGGTTAATAAAATATCAATGGTTTGTGGCGTTATGCACATATTTTTATACGAACAATTATGTGCATTCAAACAATTATTATCCTCATTAATAAGTAAATATTGCATTTAGTTTAACATTTTCATTTTATTAAAGTTATAAAAAACTAGAAATAAAATAAAACTTCAATATTTTATGTAAACACGGTGCGCAATGCGACAAAACATGTTAAAACATTCTTTAATTTATTTTAATAAACACACAACTTGTTTATCCTTTTTTGCATATATAAGTACTCATTTCTTTAAGGCTTGATAATGTTGTAAAGAAATTATGAATGTTAAATATTTAATAGAAAAATTAGAAGCAGTTGCGAAAATTGTCATTCGCACTTGTAGTATACTTATAAATATTTTAATACATACAATTGATTTGTTTACGGGAAGTAAAATTATTTAGGAAAAATTTAATATTATTCGGTGGGAATTTTAAGAAGACTGTATTCCTCATTGGAATTAATGAAAGCAATTATATTAATTTGTTGAAAGTTCTAGTCACATCGTTAATGAATGTAGGCTCTAATGAAATTAGAATGATGAAATCAAATATATGAAGCGGTTTGGCTTCATATCATTTAATTTCTCAGACATTTGTTTCACATGTAAACTATTAAATATTGATTTTTATTTTACGATCACAAATGGTGATATTTAAGGCTTTTTTGTATTTAAATTCACTGTAGATAAGTCTTTGAAATGTGAAGAGTTGTTTGAAATGCAAATCACCGATGATTGATAATAAACACAAAACATTTTTTTATTATTATTATTCTGTATAGTCAGTTATATTAAAAACTACTATACATCAAATTAAACGATGACTGTCTAAATTAATAATAATTAAAAGTAATACTTCTAATTGAATTCATTCAATGAGATATTATTCTAACGGAAATGTTTTTTGTGTTGGGCAACATTATTTTGTATTAATCTATTAAAATGTATGTCTCATGTAGAATCTTTACAATGTCTATAGCAAAATCAATATAAATTTAATTACACTTTAATGTGCTTCTACCTAGCCAACTGTGGACTTCATTACGTTTATTAAAACGAAGGGAAGTTGTTTTGATGGTAATTTCGTAGTTTTAAATATTCTATTACCGTATCAATAAAATATTTATATTCTAGAAAAAATCTTCACTAAGCAGAAACCTAAACTTTTGCACAATAAAATGCATTCAAAATAATAGTAAAACAAAATTATTATATTAAAAAAACCTGAGTGTTGTTTTCTTTGAATTTCGTTGGTTTTAATTTTTTTTTGTAAAATTCTCAACTAATAAGTTTAACATTTTTTACAGTCAAAATGATTTGAAGTTATTCATAGACATAATTAAGATGAGCAACGTAGGCGTTTCTATTTTTTCCATTAAGAGACAGGAAATTACAATTGAAAAGCACGATAGCTATTCGATGAAAAAGTTATTTGTTTGAAAACTGTTATTCGTGAAATATTATAATTTAGAAAAAAATTGTAAAACCATAAGAATAGAATTTTTATATGCGTATTTAATTTAATTGAAAATTTAATGAATGTAGTATATTATTATTAATAATAATATAATATAAGCCTAAATATTAAAAAAAGAAAAACACATAGAAATTGAAAGGTACTAAAGAAAAACGGTATATTTCTGTATATTTTTCAGGAAAGCAAAAATAAACTCATCAATTCCTATATTTTTAATGATAAAACAAAAATAGACACATTAATATTAGAAAAATGAAAACATTTATCAAAGAATGGATTCCATTACTTGATATTACTTCTAATGGGCTATTGAATCGAATCATAAAATAAAATAAAATGAAAATGGACTTCTACAGTTTTTTCTCTGTACCTTTACAACTATATAAAGAAATATGATAAATTGTTGATAAATAACAATAATTAAAAAACTCTGCTAGCACTTCTTTTATTTCAACAAAATATTTGTTTTGACTGATAAGTTATTTATTCTCACACTTTTGTTTAATGAACAAAAAAAGTTTTTGGCTAAAAATTAAAAAGTAATTTTAATGATTTTATAAGGATTTTTTCCGTTAATGATTCATATATATTATCAAATTTTTACTGATTTTTAAACTCTAACTAAACTAAAATAAAAATGCATGTTACACAAAAAATGTATTTTCTAATCATTTGTTCAAGATAAGTGTCAATATTACATTCTTTATAGTAATTATTTGTTGTTATTGTAACAAATTATATGATATGTAAAATATTATGGTTATTGCATAAAATAAATCTCTAGGAAATCAACTATAAATATTTTTTTATCATTTTTAGCTCATTATTTATTATTAATGCATCTTTTCCGCAAAATTATGAACATTTTACCGCAATACGTATATATGGGAATCAACACCATTGCTTATAACAATATATTTATGAAATTTAAATTTAGAAATAGGACAAACAATAACGTAGTTATGATGTCACATTTACTTATCATCGCCAATTATTTAGGCTAATCGCTATATCAATATAAAAATAATAATATATAAGTGTATTAACATTTTACTAATTATGAAACTCGTTACCCTGATGCCCCAAAATTAAAAGCTTATATTTATTTACAGATTACTTGACAAACAAAATTATGAATTTATTTATATTATGCAAGTAATATTTAAGTCAAAGAAAAAATAAGCCAATATAAAATTACTTTTAGATTTCAATTAAATTTAAATAAATTGTACATGCATTAATTAGATGTTGAACAGTTTAAATACTTCTTTACATTATTATATTTCTCTAATAGTTAATAAAATATTTAGTACTACACAGTGCCGGTTAAAAGGAAATAAGTAGACACAAGTACAAAGTGACTGATTATTCATAAGCAGCTAGATTCTTCCTAAAATAATAATAATCCTAAAAAAATATTTTGACTTTACTCGCTAGTATTTATTTTTCGATTTATAATTGATTTTTCATATATGAGTATCAGCTTATTTATTTATTTTTTTTATAGCAACATACATAATATATTATTTCACTAGTGTCGATGTTGGAAAATGATCCAACTACAAAACTACTGGTCGATATCAATTTTTGAATAACATAAATCGCATCTCACCCCCAGCCTATGTGTTAAAATGTTAAGAGCTTTCAGGATACTGGTTAAAAAATTGGTATGGACCAGTAATTTTCTTAGTTGGTTTATTCTTTATTATATGAGCTAGTTAAATATGAATGTAACTATTTCAAAAAATGTAATTGGTATTCTAATAAGGCATAAGGAATGAACTTAAAAATACCTTAAAAGAGTCATAGTTACTTCTGGCTTGAGTAACTTGGGGGGTGTATTGACTAACCACCAACTATTGGAGGTAGTGGTGCGCAGAGCTTCAGGCTCTGTAGACCGTATCCGGAAACCGCACTGCGAGCTATTTACCCGTCACATAACATTATTTAGGTGCATAAAAAATGTGCACCTAAATAATGTATTTAACCATTTATAAATTGAAAAGTAAATATTAACGAACAAAACCAAGAATAATTCTCAAAACTACTATTATTTTAGGAGAAATTTACAGGTCAAGCATAAATCAACCACTCCGTATAAGTAGATTAATTATGTATCTGATTAAAATTACTATCATTTGTAGATAGTGTTTAATTTTTTTAGAAAACCGGTTTATTTTATCAAATTTTATATTATTTAGATAAAATTCAACAGTTTTAAGGGACATACATTTATTTTCTAAAAACTTAAAATAATTATAAATTAATTATGTTTCGTTTGAGGGAGAAGATGTCATTATATTTAAGTAACTATTGAATTTTTTACGTAGATATCTGAGTGATGAAGGTCGAAAACGATGTGCCAACTATATTCAACCCTAAAAAGCCCAGACTGTCGCAGAGTAATGCTGTACTGACCTCGGATCATCGTCCATATGGTCCCTTTTCCCACGTTCTTTCCCGAAGCGAATCCTGTAAAGTTCAATGTTTATACACTTATAATTGGTTTAAACTTCTCTACTGAACTAATTTTTTACCATGGTTTTTTTCATTAGTATGTCAACAAGAAGACGTGGAACAGGTTGAGCAATGCCAGAGGCGGCAAGTGGGCATGTTTAAAAGGATAAAAAACAAATGCTGCTCTCAAACGGCAAGGAAAGTCAGTATTGTGAAAAATGTATTATTTTTTTATTCTAAAATTACAAATTTTTCGATTTGCAGGTGTACTACGGACTATGTGTTACAGTTTGCGTGACCTTTTCTTGGGCAGGAGCAACTCATGCCATCAAATATCTATATATGTACCACCCTACTAAGTATCCCGTGCTAAGTAGCTCTAATTTCAACTATTCGTCCATTCATCAACAGACGGTAAATATAAAAATAATATAAATTAAACAATTTTAAGTACCGTTTTCTGAATTGAAAATATTTTTATGGTCAAGAGTAATTATTATTCATTAAATACAAACAAAAAATAAGTATTATTTCTATCGTACAATTTACTTGGAAATTAAAAAATGATAATACTATAAAATTAAATTTCATGCAAATTTATAATCATTTATAAAATTCAGAGACAACTCACGAGTAGATTGCATGCATAAGGAAATAAATAAATTTTTTTGTCTAATGTACTTTTCTTCTTTAAAGGTAAAATTTAAAAAATCGATAATGAGTGTATTTTGTACTGTCTCTAAGCTTTACGTGTTAATATTTTCTTAAAATTGATTGTTGAACTATTTCATAAATTATTTTCTTAAATTTGTTTTTTTAATACTCTAGTTAATTCTATTGAAATAAATATTTGATAATCAATACTGTTTATTTATAATAGTTTAAAATTGTCACTGACCTTTTAAACTGTAAATCGTTAAAATACTTTTGGCTTTAATTCAAAATTATTTTTGCGTTTAAAGTTGATCCTAATAAGATGTATATTTTATTGATTTTTTGAACCATAATATGCCAAAAATATATTAATAGTTTATATTACAGTAATTATACTTCTATGCATAACAAATAACAGCCTTATTATTTTTATTATTTCAGTTGATGACGTACAAAGCACCATTTTTTACGACTTGGTTTTGCACAAATTGGACGGTGCTCTTCTTCCCGTTGTATTTCCTGTGTCAATTGGGTAGTCCCAATCATCAATCACCAACGGACATACTCGGTGAGAGTGTTCGAAATTTCCGTGATCGTGGTTTTACAGCAGCTCATTTTCTTTCCCGGTGTTGTATGTTTTGCATGCTATGGGTGTTCACTAACTACTTGTACATACATGCTCTCAGCATACTAGTGGCAACCGATGCTTTAGCGTTGTTTGCCACTAATGTCGCCTGTGTGTACTTATTGTCGTGGGTCATACTACACGACCAATTTGTCGGTGTTCGGGTAAGTGTTCCAATTTCACTCAGACGATCTTACTATCAAATTTCTTGAGTGTTAAATACATTTTTACCGGCTTAATATAATTCCTTTTTTGTTGAAGAAGGGACTAGTGTGTGTTTTCGGGGACACTAGCCGCTTAATTTATCCCCATAACAAAATCCATGTACGCCACATTTTCTGATCACCAAGTAAAAGTGACTTTAGAATTAAAGTTGTGAAGTTACAAGCTTAAATATTAAATTAATACAAAATAAATTGTATGAAACTTAAGCTATAGGTATGCGCACAAAAGATGCTTTTGCTGCCCCCGACTAGTGTGCTTATATTAGGCGAGCCAGTTAGAGTCACCGCCAGATGTTTATTCTACCTTAAAAATCTCCTAACAATATTTTAGAGAAAAAGTGGTCAGTCTTAAAAAAATTGAATTCAGCATGACTTTTCATAGACCTAATAACTTATCATCATACCATAGCGGCCCATTACAATAAATAAAAATGAAATATTATTAAAGATAAAAAATGGCATTATGCATTAACAAAATATTGATCAATATTTCAATTATATAACTCTAGTATCTAGTACTGAGGTTTTATTTAATTAATCACTATAATTATTATAAACTTTATTAATTATTAGTATTTGTTATATAAGATATAAGATAAAGCAAAACGTTCTAGCAATGCCTCAACATGTAAGGAAGAGGAGGGCATTAGAAAGGGTAATTACTTCGTTTGAAATATTTCGAGGCGATTACTTGAGTTTTAGATTAAACTTTTTGTTAACATAGCAATGTAGGTCGGTGTAGGTCTTTGCTGCCCCGAACCCAAAAGTCTGCTCACGTCTATTAATGTAAACAATAATGAAATAATTTGCACGTTTTTTCTTTCAGATTGTGGCTGTAATACTGTGTAACACGGGAATCGCCTTACTGGCCTATATGGACGCCGGAATAGCAAATAAAAAGAAAACCTTGACCGGAGTCATGTTGGCTGCTACGGCGGCAGGTGGATCTGCAGTGTATAAAGTAAGTTATGGCGTAAAACGATATAAATTTTACGAAGGTCGTATGATTTAAAAGTTCATCAGCACAGATAAAATATTATATTCAACCCAAATTATAAATCACCTTGTACTTAGATTATCGTTATGTAATAATGTATTTGAATGTTATTATAATTATCAGGAGTATTACATTTAAAAGATAAACGTTTTTCATTAAAAGTATTTGTGAACATTACTCAACGAATAAAAATTTCATTTTTTATGATTTATTATGCTTATATGTTTAATTTTGAGTAGATTTAGTTCCCCTCAAAAAAAAAAAAGAAAACTTATATGTAGTGGTCATTTAAAAACATTTTTCAAGATGGGTAGATATGAAATATATCTTCCAAAATTATTGTTCAAACTGTGCCAATCATTTCGATTAAATATTTCTCAATTTCATTTTGTATTTTGATGGAGTTTTACTAATGTTACAGGTTATGTTCAAAAAAATGATTGGCGATGCCACTTACGGACAAGTGTCATTGTTTTTCTCTCTAATTGGACTACTTAATGCGGCACTATTGTGGCCCGTGTGTCTTGTGTTGTATTTTTCTGAAATCGAAATTCTTCACTGGGACCGACTGCCATGGTTGATACTTTTATCAGCTAGCACACTATCATTAGGTAACTCACCGCAAAAACTAAAGTTTGTTCGTATGTCAGCCTTTTAATTTAAACCAACTTTTATATGACAATAGTGGCCAACCTGTTGGGGAATTTGAGCGTTGCTTTTACTTATGACATATTCATTACGTTTGGTCTCATTACTGCTGTACCAGTATCTGCAGGTACTATATACAGGGTGATAAGTAAGTAAGGAAACGGGTCATTGTTTATAAACAATGAGAACAATAAAAACCCGTTTGCTTACTTACTGAACATTCTATGTATTAATCGTATAAATTAATATATAATTTTACTGTTCGTAGTGTTAACTTTGATTTATAACTTAAAAAATACATTTACAGCTATTGATATAACAATGCACGACCAACAATTTTACGGAATGAAATTATCGGGAATCATATTAATATCAATCGGATTTTTACTGGTCATGTTTCCTAATAATTGGCCCGAGTATATTTTTTGGGTTCTAAGGTAAATAACACGTACATAATACCATGTCGATGACATGACTAATACATGATTTTATGACAAAAAATTCAAACCCAACGCCAATAAAAAGCACATCATAAAGTATATTATATTATTATTTTTTTGTCCAACAGTAAATCATAGATTCAAGTTTTGTACTACTGAAAATTCATGTTCCAAATTTTCGAATTTTGTCATATAGTATGCCATCGACATAATTCAATTAAATAAATATTGCAAGCGAAACAGGAAATTCTAGCGCTGGCAAATTAAAAAAAAATATCTATAATATTTGTAAAAATTATTTTCAGGAATATAGTACTACTGAGCCATAGCGCTAGGTGAGTGTGGCGTGAAGTAAAGAAAACCAAGCATGATATTTTATTGTGGAAATTTATTGAAAGAGTGGAATTTACTTTTTATGTATTAAAAAAAAAAGTTGTGTAGCTTGTGGCAGGTGTTTTAATGAACGCATAAGTAGGATGCAGTAAAATAACAATAAAAAGAAGTGGTTGGCCAACAGTCATACTGGTAGAAGTAGTATAGTAATAGTACGATAAAATTTCATGTTTTACATGGTTTAAGTAAATTTTCGACGTATGCGTGCGTGTGTAATTATGTACAAATATTGATTAATAAATCATAAGTTTATATACATCTTCTTACCACTGTTGAGCTCAAGCAACCTCTTCTTTTTGTGCCCAAATTATATACACTACACATATTTTGCATGGCGATTTTAGAAACGATAAATACTTGCATGCGGTTTTTGGTGATGTAAAATAGCATAAACATGTAATCATAATAAAATAATTGTTGTGTGTAAAAAAAAATGTACGTGATTGTTTAGATAATCATAATACAATTGATATGCGAGTGCAAATTTTAGATATTAGAGTTTTATTTATTAATTACAAGAGGAGTATAACATTAAAAATTTGAACTGTTTAAAACTATAGATGGAGTAGAAAAAATAGAGGACTACAGCCAAACCCACCAAAAGTGGAAATCGACTATAGAACTGGATACATACGGTCACATTTGCGATCTCCTTCTGGACGAGTCAGATGACCAGTTCGAACGAAAATGAAAATATTCCAACACTTGTTGATTTTTTTTCGTACAACAAACGCTACTGAAGCGTTGGAGGATAATATTTGGTTATCTCGTTGCTGTTGGTAGTTGTTTTTCACTTCTGTATAATACCATTTCTTATAGAGGTATACGTGGAAAAGACATATCTGTCAAGTCGGACGTATTATACGTATTTTATTATTTTAACGCACAAGACGTTTCGTGTGTATTTTATTATAAAAACGCATTAAAAGGTTTAGATGTAAATTATGTTAAATTTCATTGTATTTGTCTGTTGTATCTATTGAAAATAAACTGACATTTTTTTTCTTCAAGAAGAAATGTGTAATTTTAATGCGTTGACATTTGTAGTTACTACGGTTATCGACACGTTGTAGATAACTGTGACATTTAATTATTTGATCTGCCCTTTAATATCGAGAACAATAACTTTGAAAATATTTTCATATCTGTTATTCAATTGAAAATTAGATCATCACTCGAAAAGTAATTGTTTTATATTTTGAAAAAAAATTTGCATTTCAAAAAAAGCAAAAACATTTGTATTATGTAACAAAAATCATATTGGAAAATATGTTGTTTTGAAAGCGTCTCTTAATCATTGCTATATTCGCTATGCTCAGTTTGCATAGTCTCTCTATTAATTTTTATACAATCATAAAAGATTTTATTGATTTAATTTCAAGAAATACAGTTCGCATTGCGATAGAACAAGTTTCAAAGTGTTTTATGTGTTCGATATTATGGCTCGAGGGGAAATATTAACATAAAAATGTTAAATGCGTATCAACATAGGCAAAAAAGACAACATGTCAATTTGTAATAAGTAATGACTATTATTAATTAATCTTACATTTAATTAATCTCTTACTACTAATTTTTAATAATTATAAGCTTCAGTATATTATAGAGCTTTGATTTTAAGAAAACAAAAATATTCAATGTCAAATGTACTTTTAAACAAATGTAATAGAGTGGAATTTTAAAAACAAAACAAAACATCGATTTTCATTGCTTCGCATTATTTTTGTATGATTTTATAACTCATTAATAATACCTTTTATTTATTCTATTTTTTTTTTTTAATACATTCACTTTTAAAACAACATTTTTTGTAAATGAATTTATATAAATAGTAGTAGAGCAGTAACTATTTTAAAAATTTAGTAAAAATGTTTTGTTTTAAATTTATGCTGATTGATGATGAAAATCTAAATGAATATCTAAGAATCATACCAATTGAAATATTTGGTACAGAACATATTTTACTCTGTTCTTATTATTTCTCATTCATCCATAACACAAAAATAATGATTAAATAAAATAAATTAAAATATTGATTAAAATACATCCCAGCAATTCTTTGCCGAGATATTGTTGGAATTTAATAACTCGTATATCATTGTATTACAATACAATGTATCACATTAAGAATGTTAAGAAACAAAAAATATTTAACCTGAAAAAAAGAATAAAATATAAAATAGTAATTGTTTTAATTATTTCTGTGACTTATTTTATTAATATTAACGGTTAATTATAAATGTTACACTATTGTTTATAACTTATTAAAAAATAAGCCCACGCTATATAAAAATTATATTAAAATTATCGATTGTATACAATACAGAACGAATTTCGACCATATTAATACATTAATAGATTTGTATATAAACAATAATTATGACAAATTTGAACACCTTCTAAAGCTATATAGTTATCTTTTTTATATAAGTATAATATTACTTAACATTTTATTTACATGTTGTGGCAATAGTTTTGAGAATAATTAATATTACAAAGACAAATTTTACATTTCCGACAAAACATTTAGTCGTTTTTTACACCTAGTCACACAAACAATGTAACATAGAATACAAAAATAATATTTCTACTCCAATTAATTGCCTAAAAAAAATGTGATTATAGAAGTACGATCGAGAAATTATATAATGTATAAAATAGCTTCTTGAAAATATATTTTCCCTTAAAGGGCACCACTTAAAAATCATAATTTATTTTCAAACAAAATTACAATGTTATTACAGTTCAAACAATATTTGATTTTTTTTAAATAAATAAAATTATATAAAAAAATCATTTGAAGAACATTCAACATTTAAACTAATGTTTTTGATTTAAATGAAAATTATAAAATATCGAGTAATTGCTACCAAATGAGACTATTTTATTTTTTACAAAACCGATCTAATGTAATGTTATATGTACATTCATACAAAAATGTGGCCAGGGTAAAAATAATAGAATTGAAAAAATTAATGTCACATGCCACTTTTATAAATTGAATAACGTTGGCTCGTGTAATGTATACTTGGCTCGGAATCAGAAAATCATTAGATATTTATCACACGACGTTGTAAATTCTAGTTTTGTGGCATTTTTATACATGTGTATAAATAATTTTACTTGGTTCCATAAATTAAAAACAAAGTCAATAACATCTGTCTGTCTATCGTTATACACGAAAATATGCTTAGGTCACTAAATTTTTTAATTATAATTCATACAAATATATCATTCTTCACACGACTTGTATTATTTACGCGTTTAGCTGGATATATAAATATTAGTTAACGATTAGAGTAAAATAATCAAAAACAAACAACAAAATAAAACGGTATTATATTAAAACATAAGTATCAGACGTATTAAAAAGTGAAATTTCAAATAATAATAAGCCATTTAAATTTATAAATGTGCATATGAAAATCAAATGGATATTTATTTATTATTTCTAATAATTGTTTGTATTTTTAAGATTAATATATTAGCGTAAATTGAATATCTTTAAAAATAAAAGATTGAAATCCGTCTTCCTAATTTCATTTTAATTGATAAACTTGGGATTGTATGTAAAATTATATAATTAACGCTAACGGATTATTTTAGATTTAAAATTGATACATTATAAATAATAAAAACTCAAAAAATAAAAATTCAAATTCTGTAGTATTAATATAACTTTATATAAATATAAAGTAAAAATTCTAGGAACGAATGTTTCTTTGATCATACAGGTACTTGATATATATGAAAATTATGGAAAACTTGTGCTTAACAAGATTTATATCAAAAATACAATTAACAGGAAATGACATTTTCCCTCAAATAATTAAACTTTTATTCATTTTAGCTTATGGAAAGCGTGGACAATACAGTAATGGGATAAAAGTAGTAATTTATTTCATAGGTATTAAAAAAAAAGAAGTGATGTTAAAGTGCTAAAAAGTTTCGGTACACCAAGCTAAAACCGTAAATAATATTTTACAATTATAAATAAATAATTTTAATAACAATGTATTTTTCTCGTCTAAAAAAAATATTAATATTTGCTGTCAATAATCAACATTGTTGATACCACAGTGACAAGTGGTTTACTGTAGTTGCATCGTTACCCAAGTGACTAATCTAGGATGAACTAAACCTCCAATCTCGCAGTTAACTGTACGCGTCTCCCCATTAACTACAAATAGTGCTTTATCAGCAGGAGTAACCATGTAGTGACCAAATATTCCAGACGCAGCAATCGGTCGGTTAGGGTTACCCCATTGAGCCAATGATTGTTTCATTGCTTTACCAACTCCAGTTATCATTTCTACTTTGCCTGGAAATATATATATTATCTTACGTAAATAAATCATAAATTATTCAAATATATATTTTAGAGGACGAAAGGGTTATACCTAAAATATAATCCATCATTACAAGTAATGTTACCAAAATAAAAAAAGTACTAATGACCAAATTAATTTTAAGCTTACTTATGTAGATCAATAAAGATAACTTATTTGAATTTTAATATTTATCTATAACACTACATAAAAGTAAATATATTAATGATTATTAATTAATGCAATTATTAATTTATTAAATGTTAGTGTGATATTATTTTAAATTACTTTAGGTTATTTTTAATCAAAATGCTTCAATTGCATGTAATTTTTTGAATACAAAAAGCGATAAGATAATTATATTTTAATAATATATTATTTTTATTTGAAAATTTTATTAACATTGAAAACAAAAAAGCAAGAATTCCATGAAAAACATTTTAAATGATATATTAGCTATAAGATGTTGTCGTTTATGGCACAATGTGATACCAGTATAAAATTATAACTAAAAAATAATAAATATAAAATTCTGAAAACTTTTTAATGACTTTCAAATCTAAAAACATTTAAACGTGGAAATTTTAAATGGAATAAAAAAATGTTTTTAATAATTTCATGTGTACGAGGTGTGTTAAAAAAATTAACGGAATTTTCATTTTTTGAAAATAATATTTATTTATTCATCTACATTAATGTTGTCCACTTCAATCAAGTCCCCATTAGATATTATGCACTTGTGCCAACGTTTCTTCTATTCCTCGAAACACTTTATAAACTCAATCTTTGGGATAGCCTTCAGCGGTGCACTTTTAATGTCATCTATGATTGTAAAACAATGACTCTTTAAAGATCTCTTTATTTTTGGAATTAGAAAAAAAAAGTCACATGGAATCACGTCTGGCGAATATGCATCATTATAGTATTGTTTTCGGTCAAAAATTCACGAACAAGCAATGAAGTGTGAGCAGGTGCATTATTGTGGTGCAAAAGCTATGAATTGTTTTGCCACAAATCCGAGCGTTTTTATCGGATTGCTTCACGAAAACGGCGTTGAACTTGTAGGTAGTACTCCTTATTGACTGTTTGACCTTGTAGCAAGAATTCATGATGTATTATGCCATTAAAATCAAAGAACACAGTGAGCATAGCCTTCACAGTCGATCGTACTTGTTGAGCCTTTTTCAGTCTTGGCGATCAGAATGTCTCCACTAGGAAAATTGAGCCTTAGTTTTTAAGTGACTCCTAAGCAAATTTCATTCACCGCAATTTTTGGTCAAAATTCAACAAATTTTGCGCTACGCGTTTCATACCCAAAACATTCGCAAAAAAATTTCATGGCATAAACCAATCGATATTCTAACATCATCAGTGACTTCTCTGATTGTAATTCGGCAATCGTTCATAAGCATTTTTCAATTTTTCATTGGTTGTCGATGTGCTGGGGCTTCCGTCATTTTCAACGTCTTCAAGGCCATCTTGGAAACGCATATACCATTTGTAAACCATTGTTTTACTCATGAGAGATTCACCATAAATATTTGTTAAAATTTCACACACTTTGTTACATTTTATTTCATATTTACTCGAAATTTTATATAAATCATTTGATCCATTTTTTTAACAAACAATAATCGCCGTACTCATAAAAACACGTCTAACCTTAGCGGCTGCCACTGACAAAGTAAAGAATGAATCCAGCTGAAAATTTTATCATACTTCAGAGACATGCCCACCAACATTATGAAAAAAAATTTTAATAATCAGTTTCTTCAAACCCGCAAAATTTAAAAATTCCTGTTATTTTCTGAACATACCTCGTAAATAGTAGTTCAAGCAAAATTTTAAAGAAAAAATATACATGTATACTTAAAAGTATAAAAAAATTGACATTATTTTAGATGAATTATATTAAACCTTATAAATTCTGATAAAATATAATCACCATTTGAAAGGTTCAAAAATAGTATGTCTTCTTTATCAGTCGCACTTGCATATAAGTCATATCCATGGGTAGTTCTCGATGGATAAAACGCAATTCCGCTAATCATTAGAGTTGTTTTAACGTCAAATGAGAATTTCAGTCCAGACTCTACGAATGAATTAAAAATTATAAATTAAATAGCAATGATTTATTAAAAAAATATCTAGTCAGAAAAATATTCAATAAAAAGTTACCCAAAACTTTTTGCACAATTAGAGTCACTCCATCTGGAGCTCTGTCAATAGATACAACAATTCTGCTATCAGGTGAAACAAGTGGGCTTCCTCGGACCGTAGGCTTTTGATAGACTATAGTGTCAGTTAAGTAGTCTAAGATCACTTGACCCGTAGAGTGTCCGGTACCTGGTTCTTCACATTCTATGATGACAAATCCATCTACACAATTTGACCAAAATACATTAAAAAAAAAAATGAGTAATGAATATTACGTATCTACGCTCGACAAAATATGTTTTTAATAAATTTAAAAAAATATACTGACATAATGATGAAAATTGAAGATTTCTAGGAACACAATTGTATGGTGAAAGGTCAATGCTTCGTAAGTAACGCATGTTAGCCAAATCTAATTTATAAAGTCCTCTTTGATTAGCATGGCTTACATATCCATATTTAAACCAGTGATTTAAATCCTAAAACAGTAAGTTTCGACAAATTTCGAATGTGTTTTACTATAGTTAAATAGCTTTATACTTATATAAAGCAGTTTGATGTGCAAAGTGATGAGATAAAAATTGTTTACAACACTTACCTGTGCTTTAGGCATAAATAAATTTCTGACTAAATCAAATTGTCCATCAATTGGTTCTGGGTGAACAGTGTGATGTTTTCTCTTCTGTGATGCGTCTCTTATCACTTGTATTGTCTTCACGCCATCGTTGTATACGCTTCTCCAATTTAACACCCAAACTTGGTCTAGATGAGCGACATAATGTAATTCAACAGGGTATTTATCAGTAACTACTACCTGTAAAGTTACCATAATATTTAAACATCATAATTATGAGTTTAAATAGTCAGACTTACGTCTACGACGACCATTTGGATCTTACTGATGACAAGTACACGGTCATTAAGAGGTTGGGATACATATACGTATCGGTTGGCCACATTAATGGCTTGGCCCCAACTACAATTAACTCCCTTATTTCCACATACATATTCTTGAGTACCTGGTATTATATCAGTTGACTGGATTTGATGGTATAAACGACATGCTGTTGGTTCGTATACAGAAATTCCCCAATCGTGAAAAGCGAAAAATCGTCTTTCTTCTTTTGGTGCGGCTAATAAAACAATTTAAACATTTAAATATTAAGTAAAAATATAATAATATTATGAGTAATATTTACTAGGTGTTAAGACTTCTTGAACTATTAATGATGATATGTCTCTGGTAACTCCCCCAGTATTGGAAGCCTGGCACATGTACGCACCGGTATCAGCGTAGTCTATATTTTCTATACTCAATTCGGTTCCATTACCAACGACTTGATACTTATGAACTAAATCTAACTTAAGACGATCTTCATTTTTCAACCAAACGACCTAAAAAAAAACGTGTTAAAAGAAAAAAATATTTTTAATTCCAATAAAATGTTTCAAACATTACCTCCGGAAAAGGTTCACCTATAACATGACAAAACATCGAGGTCTTCTCACTAGGTCTACGTGATTGAATTCTAGGAGTCACTTTGACTTCAGGTATAGCTAAAAAAAATATATAAACATAGAAAAATTTTTATTTCATAATTATTAAATGGTTTTATCTTACTGTGAACGGATAAAACATGAGTTTGGGTTACTTCAGAATTTCTGAGCGATCTGCACGTGTAATTTCCTGCGTGTACTAACTGCACATTTGTTAAATATAAAGACCCATCACTGAATACTCTTAGATCCTCATCACCTAAAGCAGTTAAATCGGCCGAGTACCGTTTCCAAATTATTGGCGGCGGGGGATTGCCATTGACATCACATCGAATTTCTACATTATCTCCGACTTTAGCGGATATTCTATTCACTTCCAGAGCTTTTTCTAAAGTCACTACAGACAAGCCTAAATAGATATTACGGAAATTAAGTTCATATGTTCCGAGTAAAGTATTAGTATGGTTGGTTGATCAAAGTAAATCTATTTAACGTAGTGACTAGTGTGTAATAGATAAATTGATATACGAATTCTTTTAGAATGGTAAACGACAGTAATACATAATATGATTTTTTGTTCATATTTAAATTTAACAAAGTATATTTTTATATAATATTAAAGCTTACTATATAACTTGCTGAAGGCTGCATAGAATTCATTCAAACCGAGACGGCCATCTTTATCCATATCTTCAAAAATAATCATATCTGACAAAACGCAAACATTGGATAAAGCTTTTAATTTTTCTTGTTTGTTGACCTAAATGTTAAATATAATTATTAAACTACATAATTTGATTTGAAAAATACCAAAATATTGGCAATAATTCACACTATAAGAAATGTAAAATCAATTTTTTACACATAATTTATACATATTTGACTAATTATTATTATACATTTAGTCAAATTTCATAATCCTTAACCATATTTTTTGTTAATCTCAATGTCAGATAGTTAATTGAGTGTTAACAAACATTTTGGGCTAACTGTGGCCCAAATTTTTTTATATTATAATATTTCCAAGTAAATGAATTAATCTTAACTACGTTTGAAAAATTATTTAGGAAAATCATGAAATCACTATAATTGAATTTAAAATTTGAAATTCCGTAACTTTTATGTTGTATACTTAATTTTAAATTATTCACATTAATTTCAATTGTGAAATTTTCCAATTATTGGAATAAAATTAATTACATTACATTTATTTGAAGTATAAAAAATGTATTTTTATTGTTCACTGTTGTTGTTATTGTTTATTTATATACAAATTACTTTAATCATTATGCCAGCTAAGAAATTAAATATGAAAATACTTTTTTGGGAAATGGAAATTTATTTTTTGAATCTTGTATAAATAGTTTTTTTAACAACATAAAAGTTGGAACAAGTTTTTTTATAAAAGTTTATACTTAATGGGTTTCACTAGAAGGTATGATAATAAGAAAAAAATGTAATGCCAATCTGCCAAAAAAATTGTAAAACAGTTTAAACTAAAATATCTAATATGACTTGTAATATTATTTATTATTTTTTAATAAATTTATGATTTCGTTAGTAATTTAAATCAGAAATATTTTCTATAAATACAGATGAGGACCTAAAAGATGAAAATTTCCTACAATTATTTCTAAAATATGTTTAATTTGCATTTTTAAGGTCCTAAATTGTTTTACTGATAATTGCACAAATATTAGAAACCCCTTAAGTAAAAATAAAAACATCACAAACAATTGATTATTTAACTACGGAGATATATGTTTTTTGTGGAACTCGTAAAACATAGTTAATAAAATTAGTGTTATTCGTTAATCAGGTTTATAAGAAGCCATATAAATAACACTATAAATCAATATATTGTGACCTTTAAAACACGAAATCAGTTATTCATATAATGTCATATTGTACGAGTATTAATATAAGAGTAAGTAATTCAGACAACAAAGAGTATCATTGTATACCTTGACAAGTTCATCTCGTTGTAAAAATCCATTGCCATCCAAATCTAAATACTTAAAAAGCGCATTTGAAATATATTCTTTACCGCCATTCCAACTTTTTTCATACATTAATTTGGCATGATTGATGAGAAGTAAATTGTCCTAAAAAAAAAAAAATAAGATTTATTGGACATAATTTTTGTTCATAGAATTAGGAACATTGTTCAGATTCTACAATTTAACTTTTTATATTAATATATTAACGAGAAGAATGTGTAACAATAAAAAAAAATATAACTTTTTTGATGCAACGTAGTGAAAATCCCGTGTATTATAAGATTTTCTCTTGCATTTACCTGATTTTTTTATTTTAAAAATTCTTATTACCATAAGACTTCATATAGTAAACCCATAGGCGTTATAGCTTCAAAATGAGTCGTATACTTAGTGACATTGCGTGGCCCATTACGGGAGGAATAGGGCTTTTTGTAAACATAATTTATATAGGTATCACTATAGAGTAAAGACGGTCTAGAAGGGATGCTATCCCAGAAGTACAATAAATCCTGACCGCTGGCATTAATTTCTGCGGTTGAACCCCCTTTTAATTGTACAAGAAACATTTATTATCATTTTATGTGTTTTATGTCAAAAAACCACAAAGGCGCATGTTGAGTACGCACAAAAATAGTTTAAAAATGAATTATTAATAAGACAGATTATTATATTTTAATAAAGAAAAATATTTTTATGACAATTGATTTAAATTTTACATAATTAATAAGATTGTCTAGTCTACAAAGTAAATATTTTCATTCGTTTTTTACACCAAACTTCCATTTCCATTAAATATCAGAATTTTTTTGTAAGAAAAATTAAATGACATATTACTAATGTATCTATTAGTATTCTATTCAGATTGTCATGATGATAAATTTCCAAAATTATTATAAAAAAAAGTACTGCGGACAGTCTTCATACGTTATGTCCCTGCATTAAATCATACTTTGAGTTCCGACTTATATATAAATGACATAAAATCTGCTCTCCACGACATTGAGCATTATCTATATGCAATTCTCGAAAGTTATGGAAAAAATACACTTTTATTTTTACTTCCATAAAATTGTATTATGTATCGTATTTTATTGTTAAATACATATATTACATTTTTCGATTTTCCAAAACAGCAATTGAAATAAAAATAAAAGGTCTAATATTGGGAAAATTGTGGAGTCGTAAAATGTTGTAAGCTATATAAATTTTGCCACTAATTGTTAAAATTAATTGCACTTAACTGAGCTTTAATTGAGACTACCTAATCTTACAGACGAGTATGTTAGTAATGTTGAAATAGGTTTATGATGATAAAATATAGTAAGCTCATAAATAGTGAAGCTTACTAAAACATAAATAGTTAACTTTATTTAATTAAAATAAAAATTTGCCATTTCTTAAAAAATCTATACGATACATTTCTTTTAAACATTTCGACTATAGTTAACAAACAAATTTATTGAATTTATTTAAAAAATCATGATTTAAACTCTTGGGCATTACCATCTAAGGCTCTAAAGATCAAGACTCGATGATAGTATATGTTAGTGAATATTTTTTCAAATTATTTTAAAATAAATAATATATACTTTATAATTTACCTTCATGATTTCGTATTGAGATGAATCGCATTTTTTCACTTTTTTAGTTTTGTCTTCTGTTTCTACTGTATTGTCTTCAACTTTGGATAATACACGGACATTTTTCTCTTTTGATGCTTAAATAGTAAAACAAAAATTGGATTAGGAAATTATAAATAAATGGACAACAATACAACAATATTATTATTTAAACTGGACTCTTAACTACACATCAATACAATCACTTTTATAAACTTTTGATACTTGACTTAATTTAATCAGTATACTATCAAATTGTTTTCGTCGTCGCTTTGACAAGAAAACCCCAGAAACTTTTCTATCGTATGTAATATATACATACTTAAAGAGATAATTCTTAGTTATCTAACTATTCTTTGTTATAATATGTATAGTTAAAACTTTTCTCTACATTTCCGAATTCCCTTCATTATATTTAATAAGAGTTTCATAACGGAGAAATTTATTCTCGAACTTTTGACTCTTCAGTTATCTCTTGTTGAATAGAGCACTTTTAATGCTCAAGTTTTCATATTTAGGTTTTTATAAATAAGAGAAAGAAATTTTTAGCACTTCAAATTAAATATTAATTTACCATAGAAAACTAATTTTTTTTCAACAATTAAATTTATTAATTAAAAAATATAAATAAATAATATAAATAAATGGTTTATATAAAAACTATGTATAAAAATACTATAAAAAGAACTTGAGATGAATATTTAAATTAAATTTTGAACACTTCAAAAACTTTACAAAAAAATATAATTAAATCATAAGACTACGAAATACAATTAATAACAATTTTATATTTAAAGAAGGTATAATATAAACTTTAATTAACTTACTTGATAGCATGAAACATTTGTAAGAATGATCTATTTGAATATTGACTCCCATTAGACATCCTGCTTTGTGTAATTCACATCTATTGTCATACAGTTGTCCATCAGTACCACATACCCTCCTTTTGGCTAATCCACATTTTCGTATACAAACACATCGAGCTACACCACCAACAGCTACACATTCTTCACCACGTCCACAATAGTGTACCAGACATGGATCTGAAATAATTTTTTTTTTTAGATTCATGAATATCTACACGAATTCCAATTGGTAAAATAAATTCACCATCATAAGTGCTATTTATTTTTCTATAAATTATATAAAGCATTTTATAAAATAGTTATAACTTAAAAACCACTTTTAGTCATAAAAACTGAAATATTAAAATATGAAATTTAATGAAAACTCGAGCTATTTTATAAAATAAATAAATTTTAAATTTGATAATGAATAATAAAAATTATTAATATTTTTTGGGTCGAATATAGTTAGAGAAAATGATGAGTAGGTATTATATTTAAATGTAAGTATAGAATTTAATTATTAACTCCAAAACAGCGATGGAAATAATTAATAATTTGACAACTCAAATATCTAATTATTTATTTCACTTATAAAAATATATTTAGTTTCATAGTGAGTGTTAAAACTACAGTTTAATTTTTAATGAAACTTCACATATATAAAAATTCAAACACAAATCGAATTGTTTAAAATGAACAATAAAAAAAAAAATGTAAATGAACTTCAAATTAGCTGTTTACCATCAGATGAAAATTTAAACTTAGTCCTTAACATACACTATAAAAAATAATCTTATTTTATTTACAAATATTGAACACAGTTATCAAAGTTAATTTATTTCTGAAATAACGTAACAATTTAATTGAACAAAAATAAAATAAAAGACAAATAATGGTGATAGATTCTTTTAATTTAATTTCAAAAATTTACTGCTGCTCTAGGTAAAGTAATAGAACAAAATACTTTCAAGGACTTTTATTAGATTAGTTTAAAAGGTTTTGTGTCTTGGAACGTGATTTTTGGTGTTTTCTGAACAATGATTTCCGTTAGCCATCCAGAAAAACAAAGTAAACGCATGAGGTGCGATCAAGAAGCATTATGTGTCATTTCTTTAATAATAGGTAAATCAAGATAAAACAAAGATATCTAGAGGAGTAGTCTTTAAGTCTTATACTAAAACTAAATTCAATTATTTTTGTACTGTTTTTTGATTTTTTATACCTTATACACGATTTAAATGAGCAGACAATAGTTAAATAGTTAAGGTAAACAGAGTGATACCTTAACTACGCCTTACAAAATATCATTGAAAATAATAAAGCTAATCAATATTTTAATTTTCTAAAAATAATGGATGTATTGTTGAGATGCTTTATATGAAAATTAACTTTCTGCTATCATTTCTTTATACTCTAAACTCATATCAGATTTAGATTTTCAAATTACAACGCCAATTTTTTTTTATATCATCAGATTTATTCAATTAAAAAAAAAAACGGTAGCACAGTGAGGTCGCGGCATAGTGGAGACATTGCATAGTAGGGTCCAGTATAGATTTAATCTGACAGTGATTAAAATCACTATCATAAGAAACGCTTCGATGCAAATCTGTAGATAGTGTTTAATTTTAAAAAATTGATGGATAATTGCAAAAGCAACATCAACTTCTATTAAAATAAAATACAAAACCCATAATTATCATACAAAAATAGTATATTTTTCAATATGGTAGCCATTTGCGTATAGAAGATAGGTCGTCGGGACAAATTTTTTTTTTTCATTTTGTAGTACATAAAATAAGCTTTAATTTTATATATGTTTAAAGGACGCAGTATTTCTNNAAAAAAAAAAAAAAAAAAAAAAAAAAAAACACATCATAGTAAAATTAATACCTTCTCCGCTTCGCATCGAAGCTAAAAAACTATTTAGAAATTTTTTTTCGTATAGAGCAGTTTAATAAATATTTATTATTGTTAAAATAATGATAAGTTTTTATATTTTTCATGATATTTCGTGAAATTTTATGAGATATACCTTAAATTCATTTTACCTTCAATTTAAAATTTAAACTAAAATACTAAAATTCTTCTCCTTCTTATTTTAACGTTTATGTTAAATAGTTTATTCACTTATTCAAAGATGGAATCTAATTGATTATTATATAATATTGATTTCTTACCGCATGTTACATAAATTGGTTATAAATAGATTTTAGTAAATACAATAGAAATCAATAATAATTCCTCCCTTGAGTTTCATTACACAAAATTTTACAATTCGTCAAAATACATTTAAGTTTCAACAATCAAAGGTAATACTTTACCATAAATTAGTAAAACAATGCAGTAGAAATAATAATATTACATAAAAACTACATTTTACCTAGACATATGTGTTAATTATATGCAAATGATAATGTATTGTCAATTAAAAGGATATTTGCTTTATGCGACATTATTCACACTATTTAGGAGAGCCAGAATAAATGTTGTCTTTTTTTGATTTTTAAAATAGATTATGTTTTGTAATTTTATAGATAATCCGTCAAATTTGCTTCAATGCAAAGCTGAGAAGATATCAATTTCACCTTGATATGTTTATATATATTGTTTTTTGTGTCTCACTATATTCTCTCCGGTCTCACTAAATTGATATTTTTCAATGATACACCAAAAGATCACCAATTGTATCTAGTTAAAGACATTGAATTGAAATTTTAAGAAATTTCCTTCCGTAAATTGGGAAAATTACCAAAAAATGCCATAATTAAAATCGATAAATTTGATATTTTTCAAACTTTTATTTATTTTAAACTGTCATAATTATTTAAAAAATGAATAAATCAAAACCATTTTATTTATTTTATGTATATTCTTGTTACTACACATTCTTTTTTTTTTTTTTATCTGACTCTTTACTTGATTACAAAGGCATTCAAAATAGCATCTTTTGTAGGAAACCTTTTCAACTTAACATTTGAAAATGGACTTTAAACATATGATAAATTAATACTTGTTACATATTTTAAGTTAAAAAAAAATTTGTCCCAACACCTTATCTTCTATATGTAAACAACCCTGAAGTTAAACAAAAAATGTTATATTAGTGTATAAAACACTGCTCTCATGTTTTTTTTATATTATTTACATTTTTTTCAGATCAAATTGTTATAGTCATATAGGGATGGAATGAGTACCACCTCCCATTTGACACCCCTTTTTTACAAAATAAAAATAAAATTTTTTTAACATATTAATTAACAAAACATATTAATGTTAGTTATAAATATTTTCATTGAGAATTTTTACAGATTTCAATCCATTAAGTATATAAAATGGAAGAGGCCTGCCCTTAACAAAAAAATTGTTCTATCTACCAATAGCTTATAATAAAAATCAATTTCAATTTCATGAATGAAATAATATTATATAATAAATAATTTATCGAATTAAAGAAGTTATTATTTTTTTATTTTTATAAATCCTTATTTACGATAATAAACAGATTTATCATTTTGATACGCATTTCATATAAAGATAAGAAAATATACAATTACTCTATAAATTTTTATAATTTCTGGTGAATATTATAAAACAAAATATTGTATTTTAATTTCATATCCAATTTAATTACAATAATAAATATCTATTCAAGTATTATAGTTATAAATCAAATATAGTAATCAGGAATATAATTAAGAAATTAAAATTGAAGTGCTTTTGAAATTATCTTTTATTCTAAAATATAAGCTATCTACAGGTTTTCATTGAATGGTTCTTTATGATAGTGATTTTAATTACTACCAGCGTCCCCACTGTGTTGCGAGTTTACTGAACTAGTATTTTTTTTTATAAATACGCGTTCTATTAATCTTTAAGGCAAATAAATAATTTTTAATTTTATTAATTTATGATATGTTAGTATTTTATATTAGTTTCTTTTCGTGTACTTTAAAATTAAAAAAAATTAATGAAAATTAACAATTGTTTTTTTACATACTTAATTAATATCGTTTACAACACAAAATTTAATCACTGATAACACGATTTAAAACTATGTTATCACTAAATGAAAACAATATATGGATTCGGCAATGTCTTTTACAAGACTATATAGTGTTGTTTATTGCAAAGTATTGCTTACGGAAAATAGCCTTTCAACAGACGATATATTATACATAATTTATTTTTAAGATTATATATATATCACTTATTTTATATTTTAATAGACTAATTAATCACAAATATTTTAATTAATTAGACTAAATATCCTATGACAGTAAGCTAAGAAACAGTGAAATATTTGGTAATATGAAGTATATATACTTAAGAAAATAAAATTTGTAATAACATCTAAAAAATTATAAAACAACAAAATAAATTAACTAAATGTAAATGATCAAAGAATCAGTTTAAATACATAAACAAGTTAAATACGTTTTGAATAAAAAATTTTACATCAATATAAAACATTTACTATTAATATAAATGTTATATTTAATATGTAGTACATTTTATAATTATAAAAACAATTACTTAACTACTAAGATTTTTTATTTATATTTCGATTGTCTACATAATTAGTTAATTAGCCAAAACTTTTGACAATTAAAAAAAAACTTTTTAGCAACTAGTTTTCAAACAACGTTCTGATATGTTGGATATTTTCAATATCCGCTTCAAAGATTATCAAATATCCTTTTTGGAAATTTCTGGATAAACGTTAAACGTTTAAGAGCGCACCAAAGAAAGCAAAGGAACGCATACGGGTTTACTAAGTACTCAGTGGAATTTCAACCATCTCACAAGGGACATGTGCTCGATGTCGCGTGACTATAGTTCAGAATATAAATACAAATATACCCGAGAACACAATTTGGAAAATAACGTTTGCTTAAAGACAAACGAAGAGATTGTTCCCTGGAAGTAAAATTGTTTCATTTGTAAACTATAACGTACACATATTGTAGGGTTGTTTTCCACGTATTGGATAACAACAAAAAGAATTCAAGTATATTATCAATCGAACTATGATAAAATGTACTTCAATAAAATTACCATCAGCTACATAGAATTGAGATCATTGTATTTAATACCAAAGAGAATTATATGAATTCTATTTCTTACTGGCACTTGGCTGCTCATTTAAATCGTATATAAGGTATACAAAATAAAACGATCCACTTGCCAAAAAT